GAAGGCCTTTCTCCAAATCTACTTGAAGTACGAAGAGGACAAGGACAGGTTTTGTTTCCTGTGGGAGACTGACGACGGGATGAAGATGTACCGTTTTCGAACCATCCTCTTCGGACTGAACTGCTCTCCATTCATTCTCAACCACATCATACAGCTTCATCTGCAGAAGTATGAACACGCGTTGGCTGCGATCGCACTGAAGGAGTCGTTGTATGTTGACAACTTTATCTTCACGACTTCAAATCAACAGAAACTTGTTGACATCTACGAAGATGCCAGACAGATCATGAACGAAGGAGGCTTCAACCTCCGCAGCTGGATGTCTAACCATCCTTCACTGGTTGACATCATGACATCAGAAGGAACCCTTCACCAGCATGAGGCCCCAGCGGAGAAGGTGCTGGGGTACATGTACGACACCAAGCAAGATGAAATGATGCTTGCTGACTTCATCTTCGAAGAAAAAGATCACAGCATCACCAAGAGACAACTTCTGAGTAACATCAGCAAGATCTTTGACCCTCTTTCTCTTGTGCTTCCTGTGACCATCAGAGGAAGACTCCTCATGAAGCAGGTCTGGAAAGATGGCACAGCATGGGACGAAGACGTGTCACTCGAAGTGTACAGAGAATGGATGAAACTGAAGGAAGATCTCAATGCACTGCGCGATCTCAAGTTTCCAAGAAGGACGATCAGCACAGAAAACAACCAACCAACTGAATTCCATCTCTTCTGTGACGGAAGCAAGGCTTGCTACGGATTCGCTTGCTACATGAAGCAAGAAAACTCTGAACCTCAGCTGATCTTTGCGAAAAGCAAGCTCGCACCAGACAACAAGAGCATTCCCCAACTGGAACTGCTTGCAGTCTTTCTTGCCTTGAAGTGTGTGCCAGTCATACTGGACTCTCTGGTCACATCCACAGAACACGTCTACGTCTGGAGCGATGCTCAGGTGGTGCTCGAGTGGTTGACCTCAGGCTGCAAGTCAAAGAGCAAGTTTACATCAAACCGACTGGAAGACATCGCATCTATGAGGGCGAAACTTCAGAAGAAACACAACTGCAACATCACTCATCATTATGTCACCACAACATCGAACGTAGCCGACATGCTGACGCGCGGCCTGACCACCAGAGAGTTCAACAGGAAACTGCCCCTCTGGCTTCACGGACCTGACTGGCTCTGTGATGAACCAGAACTGTGGCCAACAAGTCCACTCTTCTGCCTGTCGGACGAAGCAAGAAGTGCTGTTGAACTACAGCATCAGCAAGTCAGGATTGAGGAAAGTGAACGGCAACCAGCGCTGCAGCCGATTCTGAACATCGAAGACTTTTCATCGCTGCGCAAGTTACATGGTGTGACAGCACGAGTGTTTCACTTCGTCAACAAGTTGAGACACAAGAAAGCTGATGCCACAGAACAAGCAGAGAGATACTGGCTCAAGATCATGCAAGAACAGTCCTTCGCTCAAGAGCTCGGTTACTTGAGAACCTCAAAAGACAACACCTCCAGAACATCAGTCCCCAAGCTGCTGAATGACCTGAATGGGTTCATTGACGGTACAGGAATCCTGAGATGCAGAGGGAGACTATCGAAACTCAACATGTACTCCTATGCAGTCCACAATCCCATTCTTCTCTCCAAGAAACATCGGTTGACTGATCTCATGATTGAAGAGCAGCACCGGCGCTGCAAGCATCTGGGAGTCGGTACAACTCTGACCGAGCTGCGGGAGAGAGGATTCTGGATCCCAAGTGGACGGCAAGTTGTGAAGCGTGTGCTCAAAGATTGCATCACGTGCAAGAAACTGAACGCTCTTGCCTTTGACTACCCAAAGATGACAAACCTCCCAAGAGAGCGAGTCTCTTTCATCAAGCCATACAGCAACACTGCGATTGACTACACAGGACACATTTTTGTCGCAGACGAAGATGGGAACATGAAAAAGATGTACATTGTGTTGTACACTTGCCTTGCAATTCGGTCTGTGCACCTAGACCTGGTCCCCGACCTCACATTGAACTCGTTTTTACAGTCATTCAGACGGTTTTGCAGCATGTATTGTGTCCCTGACTTCTTGTTCACGGACAACGCAAAGCAGTTCTTGGCAAGTCAGAAAGTTCTTAACAATATCTTCACGTCTGATGAATTTGAAGAACACCTGAGACAGCACAAGATTCAACATCGCACCATCCCCGTGTACGCAAGCTGGGTTGGTGGCGTATACGAGCGCCAGATCAAGACGGTGAAACAATGCTTGTACAAGAGTGTAGGCAAGGCCAAACTTAACTACTTCGAGCTTCTCACTCAGCTTAGTGAGATACAGAACATGGTGAACTGTCGCCCAATTACCTACGTTCACAGCAAGCTGGACGACATTGAACCCCTCACGCCAAACAAAATACTCAAACTTCACACCAACCCGAGACTGCGACTCGTTGAGTGCTCTGTCGATGATGATCCTCTGTGGACTTCAACACCCGACGACTCTCACCAGCAGCTCAACAAGACTCTTCAAGAGCAACAGAAACTTCAAGATCGCTACAAGAGCATGTGGTACAGCGACTACTTGCTCGGTTTACGCGAGAACACTCGAGATTTGTTCCAGACAGAATGGCAAGACAAGATAGCTGTAGGTGACATCGTCCTCATCAATACGAAGAACCGACCAAGAATGTTCTGGCTCATGGGACGAGTTATGCAGCTGTTGTACGGAGATGATGGCCATGTCCGCCAAGTTCTCTTGAAAACTAGTGCTGGACGTACAGAAAGGTATTCCATCTCTCAGCTGTACCCACTTGAGATTCACAGCACGCACACTGGTCGCCGAGTCCTGAACGATGAACAGCAGGCCGACTCAACTTGCCAGCAGGTCCAAGATGATGTTGAAAAGGCGCAGGAAGAAGTGACCAGGCGTCCAAAGCGACAAGCTGCGGTCAAACAAGACGAACTCATCAAGTCTCTCCTTCGTACTGGAAGCATCTAGAGCATGCTTCTCAAACATGTATGCTAAACGTTGTTTAGCATCAGTCCGCGGGAGGGTGTGAGAAATTGCAATTCCACAATATCATCTCATATATGCAATCATTCATTGTCCAAACGCCATTGCCGACCTCCCCCTCCCTTCCTATCGCCACTTGTGGGGGGCCGGGCGGGTAGGGGAGGAGCGGCCGGCCCAGTGGAGCGGCGGCCGCGTCAGACGCAGGGCTGCCAGCTGATTGGCCGGCTCAGAGGACTGCCGCCCGGGGCGACCGGGTCAGCGGGCGCTGACCTCGCCCGAGCCAGACGTCCAGTCTGCTCTGGTCTCGAATGGGTCGCGCGTGTCCAGTGATAAACGGCAGTGCAGTGTGCTCAAATACTATCAAACATTGAACTACGACTACTTCAATGCCACTACTCGTGGTGTCCTGTCATACTCAAGAGAGGATACTGCAGTGACACAAATAATCACAGAGGCCAAACCGACAGACAACTACCCAGGTAAGCCCGGCCTCGCAGTGGCATCACTTTTTTCCTTTCCATCATTTTCCGTGTTCGAGTTATTCATTAATTCCTACACGATGGCCAAATAAGGATCAATTCAATATTACCTAGAAAAATAGACATTAATTATTAAACTTTACCCCACTGCCACAGGGCACCATCCAATCCCAAACAAACACGAAGCACAAACACGCGCTGCAGCAGCGCCGCGGCATGGATGAAGTATTCCTGGATAGGACACTCCCTATTCCCTAACACTAGCGCCGGCGACCAAGCGGCCGCCCTGGTGGCGGAGCTCCGAAACATCGGCGGCGAGTGCGCCGGCGGCCGCCGCACCCAAGATTACTTTACTACTCGCCGCACCGGCTTGCGTGCTAAAAACGCGGTAATGGAGGGCGAAATTAGCGAACTTAAGCTCATAAGACACAATTTCAGACACTTTAAACATAATTTTTAGTCCTTTCTTATAATTATTCTGGTTCCATTTAGTCACTATCACATACGGAATCATTACCTGATGCCCATAAACTGAGCCGGTATTCTTGACTTGCCGATGCAATTTATCATCAAATATCATCGTTCCTCGGCAGTCAAACAAGTTCCTATTGATGATTTAATACAAATATCAACTTATTTTCATGTTATCGCATAAAACTTAACTTTATTCCAATATTGGCTCTTCGGCTGTAATCACGAACCCTCACTTGCCAGCAGAATTTCAGCAACTTCTTAAATCAAAACTGGGAAAAGAATATTTCCATGACATTCCTCAATTCCTGTTCTACCTGGTTCACAAAAATTTTCATCAAAATCGGTTATAGGTAAGTAATAAACGACAAAAGTATACAAAAAGACACGCTCCGCCCATAGCCCGCAATGCTAAAATGACGCCAGCGCCCTCGCCGTCGGGAAATCCGCCGCCGCCGCCGGGTGGTCGGAAAATCGGCGGAGTGTCCGATCCAGGAATACCTAATCCATGGCCGCGGTATCACGCTTATTGTTTGACGATGGGATCAAGCAAGGAATCAAGATGGAATCAAGGCAAGGAGATGGGCTCATATTAGCATCCTACTCGAATGATTATTTAGTGACGTCATTGATACAAAGTGTCCTTCCGTCAAACGGCTCTTTTCATTGGCTTACGATTGTAAGCTGGCTAATTACTTTAGAAAACCTATTACGTCATTAGAACCTAATAATTTTCAGACGAAAGCAGCGCTGCAAAGGACAAAGAATGAAACTGCTGTTCGTGTTCATTTTCCTCATGAGCAAATGAAGAGGATGAAAGGTGCTAATCAATGCAAAGTGCTAATAAGGATTCTAGGTTTAGACCACCCTGTAAATTAAAATTCACTGTTCTTACTTGTTATTGAATTTCCCTTTCTAAGTTTATATTGTAAAATTCTGCTGTTGAGGCGCTCAAAACTTTATTTATCTTGTTTACATAAGTTATTTACGAGTTTGCACCTCTTCTTTCCTAGCCAAGTAAGCTGCCCCAAGACCAATTGAACACACTCTTGTAACCTTCCTGTGACCGTGATGTTTGTTGAGAGGTGTTGAGCAATTGCTCGCTCCGCTGTTGTGTAATCGAGTGTCCGATAAGATAAGTTAGGAGAAGGGGGATTTACCTTGCGTTCGATTCAAAGTGCCTTTACTGACTATAAGCTAAACTAAAAAGGGTTTTGATCGGTTATAAAGCTATGACTGTCAAAGGACTTCCCTTCTTTGCGGTTGGAAAGGTTGTGAAAGGTTTTGGAAGAGGATCAAAAGAGCTGGGCATACCGACAGGTAGGCGGCTACAAAGTACTAGGCTATTTGTTGAAAAGTCTATAGGCCATTAGGCATGCATTTAGCGAGATCAATATATTGCTTCATGCTTCAGCTGATCTGTTCAAAACAGAAGACCAAATTAAGCAGCTGAAGTTGGGACAGGTACTTTTGTACGTGCTCAGGTAAGCAGAATAAGAACTGCACTATAATCACTGTATCAGTATGCCATTGGATGCTAGTGTTAACTTAAACTTCATGTTTGTTTCAGCTAATTTCCCAGAAGCTGTTGTGGAACAGCTTCCAGCTGCAGTCGGCACTGGGGTATACTTTGGCTATGCCAGGGTTGACGAAGGGCCTGTGCACAACATGGTAATGAGCATTGGCTGGAACCCATTCTACAAGAATGATAAGAAATCCATGGTAAGGTTGAGGATACAAAACTTCTGCTCAGATGCTGTGTTGTAGCTAATTACACCGTTGATAAAGGATTTTCATGAACTATAACTATGGATGTTGAGTGTGTGCTGTGATTTGCCAATTGCTTAACATTTTGTATTATTTTCAGGAAACTCACATTTTGCACAAGTTTGACAAGGATTTTTATGGTTCTATGCTGCGGATCTGCATTGTGGGATTCATCAGGCCTGAGGAGAATTTCAAGTCACTTGGTAGGTTTAAAGCTTTTTCATTCCCCCTATTTTTGCCATAAGAAATAGGTTATCACATTTTATGCATGCTTGATAGAAGTTCATGTGTTGTTTTTGCTTCATTGTCTCCATTTTCCCACTCAATTTATTGTAGGATGCATATTCTGTTTTTCTTCCTCACAGGTCTCTTACCTGTTGACATTCCTTTGCAGAGCAATCAATGGTTGAGTGTGCCTAGCATCACCCATATCTTTTCATGGTTTTGACGTTTCAATCAATATTGAAAATAACTTTTGATTATATTGCATGGCACAGCTGTCTTGTATCAGTTGTCACTGACATGATTTTATTCTCAGCCATGTTCCTGGCCCCAGATTTCCTTCTTTCCATCTCCGCGCACTCTGTGAGTGTGCCAGTCACCGTGACTGTATTCTCCGTGGGACGCGATGACGCGGCACCCACTCCCTCCCCGCCCTACCCTCCACACTTGGTGACGGTGACGGCGCGTTTTCCAGAGGCGCTGATTCGCGCCATCAATGACGACATTGAGATGGCGCGCGAGCTCTGCGCGCGCCCCGAGCACGCGGCGCTGGCCAAGGCCGACTTCTTCTACCAGACCGGGGACGGCACGGAGGGCGACTCAGACGGGCCGGGCGGCAGCTCGGCCGGCCGAGTGGAGCGCAGCGGCAGCGACACCAGCATAGACCACTGACCCCCCGAGCAGCTGGCGCGCGCTAGACATGGAACATCGGCACGGCACGGGTAGCGGGCGAACGGAGCCCGGTGGATAACTCGACTACGAGATGGGCCAACGACCAAAACAGAGCCGGCAATACGGAAACTCGTACGGATTGCGGTAGACTTTTGCTTTAAACCGAGCTGAGCTATTGCAGTATTAGGGCTGTAGTACATAGTCAATATTATTTATATGGGAACTGGTGACGTAGGTTTTCCCAGTTTGCCTTTTGGGGAGATAGCTAGTGGGCACTGAACTCATTAACGAGTGTGAATTATCATGTCATATTAAACTATAGAGAGGATTGGTTCAAAGACGGCACATTACTTTCTGTAGTGCCCGCTGTCCATAGTTTGTACTTACGGCGTTCGGCAGTCATTCTCTGCCCAGTTCACACATATTTATCCAAAGTCCGGCATGTACTTCATTCGCTGTCACCTGTTGGCGACGGTGCCATTTCAGAAATTTGTTTACACCGCTCAATCAACAAACGGTGACTTTGTGCACTCTTACTGGTGCCCGTTGTCTGTGTCTTCACCCGAGAAGCTGTGCGGGTCTCATAACCCACCTGGGCCGCCATGTCGTATATGGCCGACGGTGCCTTGTCGGTGAGCCCACGGCGACCTCACACGGTGCACAAAGCGCACTCCAGACGCCTTCTCTCCGACGGACGTGGCACCATTTCGACTTCGGCCACTTCAGGGCGCTGCTTTCCGGTCTTCCGGCAGACCAGATGTGATTGCTCGGACGCAACGACCCTGGCGGGGAGGCTGCTGACAGCCTGACCTGTCGAGGACATGGTGGAGAGATTATACTATGTACTTACGACCCACTAATGGCCGCCGACCCACTGAGAAGTGGCTGTCCGGCAGTTGGTGTTCAGATCGACTCTTTGCTGGTGACGCGTGTCGTAGGCAACTGAGGTGATCGAGTATGTGTTCAGTTCGTGGGCTTTATGTGCAGCACACAATTGACCAGAAATCATTGCATGCGAACAAAATCGTGACCTTCAGGTGCTGTTCTGCCGGTGAGTTCAGCGTTCAGCCGCTCCGGGCTGACGTTCGGGCAGCGATCGCGTTCTGATCTTCAGTCAATGGCTGTAGTGTTTGCAATGGTGTGCAATAGATATACAATGTTTACCCAAGGGCCGTCTTTACTGAGTGAACGACTGGACGCATGAGACTAGCTGTGCCGGGGCGAACCAAGGGCTGGCATGCGGGGCAGAGACCTGGATTTTCCTTCGATGGAGCGAATTATTCACAAAATTTAGCTGAACACCACTCAAATAACTTCTCGCAAGCTGATGACACTCTTTGTATTGCTTTGATTCTTACTGCCATGGAAAGAAGGACGGAAGATACGAAACACATGCGCGGAAGATAACGCTGCTATGCGATTCGTTAATTATAGTGACGTCATAAGACCACATGTCAAGCCTTTTGAAGCCTATCCTTGATGATATTGTTTCTCACGGGCGAAATCGGCGCAGTGCGATTTTAAAAATTTATTGCGTTTGGTAGGTGCTTTTATTTTGAATTTGCGATTTTTGTACGCTCTACAAAAACCATCGGTGAAAGAAAGTAATCTTATGTGAAAGTGCTTGTGATATGTCATTGCTTTCATAGGGTTCCAATTACCGTGCACGGGAAACAAAGGCCGCAAAGGCCTTTCAGTTTGCGGTGGCTGACGGCTACACAACTTGAACTCACCATTGAACTCGCCATTGCACGCCACGCAGTGGTACATTCAGCGTAAATTCATATTGGAAGGTAACTGCGGCAAGGCACAATGTTCACTTGGCTCCACATACATTTTTCAGGTTTTGAATAGGTATTTCTCACATTTTGAGCTTAGAGGTTTCATTGTAATTATGTCTAAATTGTCGTAGTTTTGATCTAACGTGCTGTATTTCAGGAACGTCGGGCCCTCACCATGTCTGTGATGTTTGCGCCGCCCGCCCCCGGGCAGCAGCAGAGGGGTGGCCGACCTCCACCCACTGCCCAGCAAATTCAGAAGGTGTGAGAAAGCATCAATTTCTGCCAATATCACCCGGGCTCTTTGATTTGCCAAATTTGAGACCTTATATTTGAAAGTATATTGCACAATAATTATGATAAGTTTTTTAGATAAAATGCCTTTATCATGTTCATTGTGAGCCAATGCTTCATTTCACAGTTTGTTGATGATTACTAGCATGTGGTTAATGACACCTATGATTTTCACAGCCTCATTTTCACTGATCCTTGGGCTGTATGTTTCAGCTGCTGGATGAGAACAGCCAGCTGATCCAGACAATCCAGGAGTGTCAGAACAAGGGGAAGATGCAGGAGGTGCATCAGTACCAGCAGCTGCTGCACCGCAACCTGGTCTACCTGGCCTCCATCGCTGACTCGTCACAGAACATCCAGAGCCTGCTACCCGTGAGTGGCCATTGACACAGGGTACATCTTCCTCTTCACAGCACTCTGTGGGATCACTTGGCTTAAACTGTCCAGCCAGCCTTTACAGAAGATAGCCAGATGGGACTGAAATATGATTATGCACCAAACAGGAGCCCAGTTGGACATGAAATGTGCCTCAAGCTGGCTCCCATATGGTGCCCTAAACATATTACACAGACAGTGCTTTGATAGGGCAGTGTATGGGAAGTGCTAGAATATATTTGTATGCTCATGCAGTTGCAGCTGATTTGGAAAGTTTTGACCCATTTTTTGGATACAATGAAGCCTGAAGGAGAAACTTTTTGGCATTAACTTGTGTTTGTTTTACCTCAAAGCTATTTTGGCCCTCACTCCTTGCTGATTTAATGTTGAAACATACTGAACATCAGCTGATAAAACTTAAACCTCAAATGATTATATGGATGGATTGACAAAGCTGGAGCTTACAGTTTGCACATTATTACGCAAAACACGCAAACCCGCAAAAAACGCACGCAGAAAACGCATAGTGTAGCCAGGCTTTAACGCACGGCTGCCGAACCAAAGCGATGGACTGCGGGAAGTTTTTACCGCTGTGTCAGTGCGTTGTGCTTGAGGAGCTTGTGGTGCACCGTGCAAGGCTCAGAAAACCGGCGATTGTGACCTGTGAAATGACGGTGGGGGAGAGGGGGGGATTCGCTCAGTTTTGGGGTTTAGTGTTTTTGAGGAAATCGGGGACACTCATTCAGAGGCGGTATGCATATACCTTCTAGTGGGGGCATAGGTTCACGACGATACAGCATGTAAATTGTGAACGAGTTTCGGGAAAATGATGGATCGTGATTTTTTAACCAGTAACTTGTTTAAATCTAATGCACCTCCAATATGATTTAGATTGAGCCTGACTACGATCGATTTGGTTCCCAGTAGGCAGTGCTGCTCAATAAAGTACACAATCTCCATGTGTTCAGTTGTCGATCTTGTATGGGTCACTGTTCTCTAAGCTCCGCTCAGTATTTCAGCGGCCGGTATAGGCTGTCTCTCCACCTGCTGCGCGTTCCCTGTCCTCCGTCCGTACGCTCACCGTGCTCTGTGTTGCAGCCGCCGCAGCCGCCGGGCGCCCAGCCGGGGGTGTCGCCGGCCGAGGGCGGTGGCCAGCGCGCGCCGCAGTACGCCGCCGGCTACCCGCCGCCGGCCGGCGGGATGATGGCCGGCCGACACCAGGGCCAGTACCGGCCGCAGCAGGCCGGCTACCCGCCGCAGGGACAGCAGGCCTACCCGCCGCAGCAGGTCAGTACCGCTCCGCAACAACGGGAACTGTACTGACACAGGGTCAGTACCGCTCCGGAACAAACGGGAACTGTACTGACACAGGGCCAGTACCGCTCCGGAACAAACGGGAACTGTACTGACACAGGGCCAGTACCGGCCGCAGCAGGTCAGTACCGCTCCGGAACAAACGGGAACTGTACTGGCACAGGGCCAGTACCGGCCGCAGCAGGTCAGTACCGCTCCGGAACAACGGGAACTGTACTGACACAGGGCCAGTACCGCTCCGGAACAAACGGGAACTGTACTGACACAGGGCCAGTACCGCTCCGGAACAAACGGGAACTGTACTGACACAGGGCCAGTACCGGCCGCAGCAGGTCAGTACCGCTCCGGAACAAACGGGAACTGTACTGACACAGGGCCAGTACCGGCCGCAGCAGGTCAGTACCGCTCCGGAACAACGGGAACTGTACTGACACAGGGCCAGTACCGGCCGCAGCAGGTCAGTACCGCTCCGCAACAACGGGAACTGTACTGACACAGGGCCAGTACCGGCCGCAGCAGGTCAGTACCGCTCCGCAACAACGGGAACTGTACTGACACAGGGCCAGTACCGGCCGCAGCAGGTCAGTACCGCTCCGCAACAACGGGAACTGTACTGACACAGGGCCAGTACCGGCCGCAGGGAGAGCAGGCCTACCCGCCGCAGCAGGTCAGTACCGCTCCGGAACAACGGGAACTGTACTGACACAGGGCCAGTACCGGCCGCAGGCCCGCAGCAGGTCAGTACCGCTCCGGAACAACGGGAACTTTACTGACACAGGGCCAGTACCGCTCCGGAACAAACGGGAACTGTACTGACACAGGGCCAGTACCGGCCGCAGGGACAGCAGGCCTACCCGCCGCAGCAGGTCAGTACCGCTCTGCAACAACGGGAACTGTACTGACACAGGGCCAGTACCGGCCGCAGCAGGCCAGTACCGCTCCGCAACAACGGGAACTGTACTGACACAGGGACAGTACCGCCCCGGAACAAACGGGAACTATAACGACACAGGGTCAGTACCGGCCGCAACAGGTCAGTACCGCTCCGGAACAACGGGAACTATACTGACACAGGGCCAGTACCGCTCCGGAACAAACGGGAACTGTACTGACACAGGACCAGTACCGGCCGCAGCAGGTCAGTACCGCTCCGGAACAAACGGGAACTGTACTGACACAGGGCCAGTACCGGCCGCAGCAGGTCAGTACCGCTCCGCAACAACGGGAACTGTACTGACACAGGGCCAGTACCGGCCGCAGCAGGTCAGTACCGCTCCGCAACAACGGGAACTGTACTGACACAGGGCCAGTACCGGCCGCAGCAGGTCAGTACCGCTCCGGAACAAACGGGAACTATACTGACACAGGGTCAGTACCGCTCCGGAACAAACGGGAACTGTACTGACACAGGGTCAGTACCGCTCCGGAACAAACGGGAACTGTACTGACACAGGGCCAGTACCGGCCGCAGGGACAGCAGGCCTACCCGCCGCAGCAGGTCAGTACCGCTCCGGAACAACGGGAACTGTACTGACACAGGGCCAGTACCGGCCGCAGGCCCGCAGCAGGTCAGTACCGCTCCGGAACAACGGGAACTTTACTGACACAGGGCCAGTACCGCTCCGGAACAAACGGGAACTGTACTGACACAGGGCCAGTACCGCTCCGGAACAAACGGGAACTGTACTGACACAGGGCCAGTACCCGCCGCAGCAGGTCTGTACCGCTCCGGAACAAACGGGAACTATACTGACACAGGGTCAGTACCGCTCCGGAACAAACGGGAACTGTACTGACACAGGGCCAGTACCGCTCCGGAACAAACGGGAACTGTACTGACACAGGGCCAGTACCGGCCGCAGGCCCGCAGCAGGTCAGTACCGCTCCGCAACAAACGGGAACTATACTGACACAGGGTTAGTACCGGCCGCAGGGACGGCAGGCCTACCTGACGCAGCAGTTCAGTACCGCGGCTCCGGATAGGACGGTACCGCTCCTGTGACTGTGCAATGTGCATTAGCCGCAATAGCTTCAAATGCAGGTCGCAGCAGGACTTTGCCGATCTCGGATGGGCAGCAAAAGCTCAGTAGATCAGTACCGCTAAAAAAGAACATGGAAGCAGCCTGCGGGTCGGTGCCGACTTTAGCATCTGATGGGGCGAACCAGCACACGACGCTGTCTGCGTCCAGCTCAGGCGGCGGTCGGATTAGTACTCGCCCTAATAAGATCAATGTAGTCAGCTTATATTGTATATTTCCGGACCACGGTTATTTGTTTGTAGCTGCCACTCACCCTCAGCATATTGTTGGGTGCCGCAATCGTAGCGTCTTCCAGTAGGTGCACTTGGCGTGGTTTCTGACTGGCGGCTGCCCGGCAGGGCTACGGCTACGGTGGCCAGGCGGGCGGCTACGGGTCCGGCTACCAGGCCGGCTACCAGGGCCAGCAGATGTACGGCTACGGCCAGACGGCGCCGGCGGCCGGCCAGCAGCCGCCCGGCGCGCAGTACGGCCAGTACGGCCAGCAGCCGCCCGGCCAGCCGGCCGCCTACTACGGACAGCACGGCTACCAGCACCAGCCGGGCGGCGGCTACCAGTACCCGGCGGCCAGCGCGGCCGGCCGGCCCGACCAGGCGCGACACGCCGCGCCGCCGCAGCCGCAGCCGCAGGCTCAGCAGCCGCCGCAGCAGCAACAGCAGCCTCAGTCTCAGCAGGCGCAGCAGCAGCAGCCGGGAGCCCAGCAGCACCCGCAGCAGCAGCAGGGTCCGCAGCCGTCTCCTCAGCAGCAACAGCAGCAGCAGCAGCCAGGACAACATCCTCAGCAGCCGCAACAGCAGCAGCAGCAGCATCCACAGCAGCAACAGCAACAACAGCCTGGACAACATCCTCAGCAACAGCAGCACCCACAACAGCAGCAGTCTGGGCAGCACCCACAGCAACAGCAGCCAGGACAGCACCCGCAGCAACAGCAGCAGCAGCCAGGGCAACACCCGCAGCAACAGCAGCAGCAGCCAGGACAGCACCCGCAGCAGCCGCCCCACTCTCAGGCTCAGCCCCCGCAGCAGCCGTCTCCCGCTGCGCAGCAGTCTCCACAGCAGCAGCAGCAGGCCCAGCCGCCCCAGCCGTCGCCGCAGCAGTCTCAGCAACACCAGCCTCCGCAGCAAACCCCGCAGCAACACCAGCCTCCGCAGCAGCAGCAGCAGCAGCAGCCCCCACCCCAGCAGCAGCAGCAGGCTCCGCCGCAGCAGCCGCCGGCGCCGCCTCAGTCGGCTCCGCAGCAGGCGCAGCCGTCTCCGCAGCCGCCGCAGGCCGCCACCTCTCCCCACCCGCCGGTGCGCAGCCCGCAGCAGCCGCCGCCGCAGCCGAGTCCGCAGCCGGCCGCTCAGCAGCCGCCGCAGCAGCAGGGCTCGCCGCAGTCCGCGCTGCCACCGGCGTCCACCCCGCAGCCGCAGCCGCGCCCGGTGGCCACTCCGAGTCCGACGATGGCGTCAGCGCCGAGCCCGCACCTGCCGGCTCCCTACCCGCCCGGCCAGCGCTCTGCCTCGCCGTACCAGCAGGGTTACCCGGGTCCGTACCCGGGCCAGCCGGCGCCCGGACAGCACTACCCGGCTGGGGCGCACGGTGCTCCGGCTCCCTACCCGCCGGCCTCCCAGCCGCCGTACACGGCCACCAGCCAGCCGGCGCCGGCCGCCGGCGGGCCCGGCCCGGCGCCCTACCCGACCAGCTCTCAGGCGGGTCACGCGGCCGGCTCCCCGTACCCGGCCAGCAGCCAGCCGGCGGCCCACTCGGCGCCGGCCGGCGGCCCGGCCGTCTCCAGCGCGGCGCCGGCGCCCTACCCTGCCGCCTCGGCGGCGCACGTGGCCGGCGCCGGCGGCCAGTACGCGGTCAGCGGCGGCCAGGCGCCCTACAGCGCCGCCGGCGGCGCCCACTACCAGCCGGCGTACGCGCCGCCAGTGGCGGCCGGCGGCCAGCCGGGCCAGTCGTACCACTACCCGGGCCCGCCGCAGGGCCAGTACCCGCCGCACGCGCCGTACTCGTACCCGCCGGCGGCGCAGCAGTACCCGGGGTACCACCACCAGCAGTACCAGTACCGGCCGGCGGCCCCGGGCGCGCCGCCGGCCGGCCAGCCCGGCCAGTACGGCTACCCGCCCTACCAGCACTGAGCGGCGGCGGAGCACAGCGACCGACACCACGGCTCACCCACCGTGAACAGGTGTGTACGGCCGGTTCATCCGCCGGGGCGTGGAGTGAGGGCTCCCTGAGGGTTTGAGAGCCGAAAGTGGCGGCGGTGGGCGGGGACGCGCGCGGATGGTCGCTCAGTTGAGCGCGTCTCCCTGGTCTCGGCCCGTCTCCAGTCGGGATTCCGCTGCTATGGAAGTCGGAGACCCCTTCTGTGAGCCGGCGATGGCGCCAGAGGTGTGTAGGGATGAGTTCTGATAGCAGTCCAACGCGGACTTGCGTAGATGCATGGAATGATAGCGGTAATTTTAAGGTCTGTCTCACTTTTCATTCGGACTGTCTTTATTTGAGTTTTTTAAGCCATGCTGGCGTATGGCCGTTTTGGCGTGCCTGCTTTTGCTTTCTGTAAATGGCTGAATGTTTCGTACCTATTTTCGACGTATTTCTCGGTTGCTAGGTTGATGAGCTGTAGAGATAGAGAGGGTCGTTGTCTGGAATCCATCGGTAAGGGCGTAGCGCGATCTATTTCATTCATTCTGAACTCGTTTTCGGTAAGATGCAGTACCATGTTTGACAGCTCAGTGCAAGTGGTGTTACGCAATGTCCGGTTCAAACTCTGGCAGCCTTCGGAAACTGGTATCCAAATTGTGCTGGCTGTCATCATTACTTGTCACCACGCAGTTTACACATAGATGTATTGTCCGTAATAAATAGAGGTCGAACACAATGTCTAGTCAGGCACTGAACAACATAACACGATATGGCCGTCAACAGCAATGATTGGCCAGTTCTAGCACTCTGGTTACAGAGCGGGGCTGTCCCCCGACGCTAAGCGGCAGCCCGCTCAGATCTATTGTCTCTCAATAATAACCAACGTTCCTCTCACTTCTAATCTCAGTCGCACAATCTCACTGTTTGGCTCGCTGTGTACGACCGTACCTATGTGACATCTCGGGAATAGTTCGCGCTGTGGCACGGCCGGGGAAGACCCCAGGAAAGTGTCTCGGTGCGTCACTGGCTAAAATTCGCATCACCAGCGTCACTCCGTCACATCACCGTCACATTAGCCAGCGTCATCGCTTCGCCGCGTCACTATCACTCGGTCACGTCACGGCGCGCGTTACGCCTCAGCCTCGACGGCCGGCAGCGGCTCCGTGTCTTTGAACGAGGCCATGCTGGTCTCCATCCAGTACTGGTTGGCAGCCAGCGTGTCGAAGGCGCGGGCGGGAGCGGGGGCGGCCGGCCGGGCGCACTGCTGCCGCCCGGAGACTCCGACCAGCCGCCAGACGCCCGATCCGGAGCGGCACAGCAGTGGGGCGCCGGGCAGCTCCGCCGACTGCGGGTACAGACAGTCGGGACAGGGTCAGTGCGGGGTTCAACGGCACAGCAGCGGGGCGCCGGGCAGCTCCGCCGACTGCGGGCACAAGGCGGGTCAGCGCGGGGCACAGAACAGTGCAGCACGGGCTAGAGACAGGCCACTCGAGGCACATAACCGTAAAACGGCGAGCACAGATAGGTCAGCACAGGACGACACAGCGGGGCAAAGAAGATACAGAAGCCGCCTGCACAGAACACAAGCTGAGATTACGTCGTACGAGGCTGAGCACGAAATGCAGGGAAAGGCATAACAATCTGAGTGATTTCGTGATTGACGACTCGGCTGTATTCTCACCTGGCAGAGGTGGTCTGTGCGCGGTGAGAGGGCGGTCACCGTGACCGGCTCCGTCTCGTTAGAGGAGTCCGCCCGGCTGAGGTTCACCGTCAGAGGAACGTACCGCAGCTGCCCGTCTGAGGAGGGTCAGAGGAGCGCGGTGTCAGTGGGCTGGCAGTGGGGAGCTCAGAGGGGTGAGACTCGTGGAGAGGCCGTCCTCTGACGCTTCCTCTACGTGCTATAAATTCGCTGATCTCCCTCTCCCAAAAAGACTTCCAACTTCCATTGAACTACTTTCATTGAAAACGACTGCTCCTACCAGTGTCATCCCGTAGTAACTCTACCCCGTCCCTTTCCCTGCCGTCCGTTGCGCCCAACCAGTTCCAGTATTTCCATCCCGTTCTGCCCAATCCTCCCTTCCCCGTCCGTGCGGCCCTCTCACCTGTGCTGTTCCATCCGAGTGTGAAGCAGGGTCCGATCGGTCCGCCCTCGGCCGCTCCTGTCTCGGCGGCACAGACCGGTCGCACCTGGTCAGAATCCTCTGTGGGCCGCGCCAGTCGCAGCAGCGTTACACCGCTGCCCTTGACGGGAGAGCGCACCATGCCCGAGATGCGGCGACGCTGCAGGTGCGGCGGCGAGCTGCCGGCGCGGGCCGAGCCGAGCACGGCGCGCCACCGGGTCCGCGGCCGGCTGCGGGGGGAGGGGAGGGTCAGTGGGCCATAGAGACACAAGGGAGGAAGAGAGGGAGGGTCCCCCACCGGGTCTGAGACGATATAGTCCCTGTGCCCTTACAGAGACCTGTGTAGAGTGTACTGAGTACTGACGTCGGCGGCCGAGACCAGCCATTGGTTGTGGATCATGGTGGCCTGTGTAGAGTGTACTGACCCTTTGAAGCAGTCGGCGGCCGAGACCAGCCATTGGTTGTGGATCAGAGTGGCCTGTGTAGAGTGTACTGACCCTTTGAAGCAGTCGGCGGCCGAGACCAGCCACTGGTTGTGGATCAGAGTGGCGTCACAGAGATGATGGCCGTCCCGCACCAGGCGCGCCTGCCACGGGAAGTCTGCGGCGGCAGCGGGCGCAGTGCGCTTCTTCTGCAGGGGAGTCTGACCGGGCGCCAGACCGCACTCTGTCGACACATAGTCACAGTCACAGTCACAACTCACAGTATCCTGTGAGGGAGTCTGACCAGTCATATCTATTGGGTCTTATTTCGGGGACACGGCCAGTCGGCCAATCGCAGACTCCAGTCACAACTACTCCCAGATTTTCCAGTCTGGACTGGACGAACAAGTCAGCTCTCGTGACACAATGGTAGACGTCAGAGTTAGATCGGTGCCATCAACTGGAAACGTGAGAAAGTGGGCCGGAAATATTACAGTTCTCGTAAACCTTCCGCGCATGTGACGTGGAAGATTGAACACACCGATACCGTCTCAACATAACGCGAATCTGCTTTCCGGGATCGTGATAATAGTCACGATTCGAGCCACATTCGAGCCCTTGTAAACAGGACATTAGCAGGGACATTAGCACGACTCTACTCTGTACGATGGTCCAGCGATCACAATGGAAGGTCATCGTGGGTGTTTCACGGTCAGGGAGCAATCACAATCGAAGGTAGTATGGACTATACAAGGGAGGGGGGGGGGGGAGTCACGGCATGGTGAACCACGTGACTCCCGACACTGTGAGTGGAGGATCCAGGAACTCACAGAATACAGGTGAATTTATCGTAATGAACCCGTCAAGTGTTGGAAGCAAACTGTTGGAAGAAGTCGGGCTTGTTTGAAAATAAATACGGCCAATCCAAAAGGGTTAAAAGAGAGTTCCTCTGGGGCCGATGCAAGGTAATGTATTGGTTCCTGTGATAGCATTCGATAAGTTAGGCTCACCGTATACAGCTATATGAGTCGAGCCGGGATATGATGGTCTGATAGGGCCGTGGGAGGTCTGTAGGGACCGTTCGGGGGGGGGGGGGGGACTCAACAGACCTAGCTCGGAGCAGCGGACAAACACGCCCTGCTCGGAGGGACACTCGGCCGGCTGGAACGTGCTGGCGCCCTGTGAGAGGCCGCGCAGCTGCACGAACGCCGCCGTCGAGTTGGCCGTCTCCTCTCCCTCCTCCTCCTCTGTAACTGGCCGCGACTCCACCAGCTCCGTCTTCCTGCGGACGCGGAATGGAGGGATATAAATCGAGTGTCGATAATTGGATACGGAATGCGTCAGGTCGGCCACTGAGTATCGATGCCGTCAGTTAACATACGGCACACGCATATACACACCTTAAAGTTACTGCACACACAAGCTTGATGCTACCCTGAATTCTGATATCACGTGAACTCACTATCCTAACTGCACAGCAAAGAGGAAGAGGAAGATAACAGCCCCGGTATCAGAGCACATCCCCACCCGATCTCTGCGCGCGTCTCCCCGCTGTATACCTGTAGGAGAGCAGCGCGCAGGCGGTGCTGAGGTTGGACAGCGGCCCGGCCGGGACGGTACCGGCCGCCGCCGCCGTCTCGTTAGTCGTTGCGGCGCAGATGTAGTGCTGCCGGCCCCAGCCGTTATAGGTGAGGAAGCCCTGCACGGAGCCGGGCCGGACAGCGTCTGTCGTCGGCTCGGCGGCGTCCAGACTCACTGTGGAGGACAAACATAATTGGGAGTGAGTGGTCACAGAACGGCATATGACAGTGCACACGGCAAGCAAGCTACGTAAGACCACAGCAATACTGATAGTACCACAGTGAAGACTGCGATAACGTATGTAACGCTAACACAGGAGACTGCGATAGCGTATGTGGCACTAACACCATTGGTGGAGACTGCAATAACGTTTGTAACGCTAGCACAGCGGAGACTGCAACAACACATGTAACGCTAGCACCACAGTGGAGACTTCAATAACGTATGTAACACTAACACCACAGTTGAGACTAACAGCAGCAGAGACTGCAATAACGCATGTAACGCTAAGACACAAAGGAGACTGCAATAACGCATGCTAACACACAGTGGAGACTGCAATAGCGTATGTAATAGTAGCACCACAGCAGAGACTGCAATAACGCATGCAGCGCTACCACAGTGGAAACTGCCATTCAGCAGAAGGCCAGGCGGATAACATAACAGCCCCTAAGGCCCGAAATTCCCGTCCCTCTCTGTACTCACGGCAGCCGCGCTCGTCTCCGGCCAGCGCGCAGTCGGCCTGTCCGTCGCAGAGCGCCGCGGCCGGCACACAGCTGCGCTCACCGGCACACCTCACCAGGCCCGGAGGACAGGCCGGGCAGGCGGCCTCGTCACTAGCGTCCGGACAGTCGACCACGCCGTCACAGACCCGGTCCGCGCGGCCGGCCAGCTCCAGCTCCCGCACACAGCCTGAGGGGGCAGGTCAGAGGTCACAGGTCACAGACGGTCCGCCCGGCCGGCCAGCTCCAGCTCCCGCACACAGCCTGCGGGTCAGAGGTCAGAGTTCAGAGGATAGAGGTCAGAAGTCAGAGGTCAGGGAGGACAAACTTTCCGACATTGAAGGTCTTCCAGAAGAGATAAAGGAAAAATGGTTGAAAATCAGCAAGATCGAAACATGAGGTCAAGGTCAGCAGCGAAAGAAAAAGCAAGAAGCAAAAAATCATCGAGGTCTGTCAGCTCAACCGGTAAACTAACGCAACTAGAACAAGGTTCAGTCAAGAGTGTCAAGTCACAGTCGTCGGGAAGTGTCCTAAAATACATGAAGACAAACAGCGGATGACTGACCGACTGACCAACTGACTGACTGACTGACTGACTGACTGACTGACTGACCGACTGACTGACCGACTGACTGACTGAGGGACCGTGTCAGCGGCTGTACCCACCGGGCCTGGAGAGGCACTGCTGCTCGCCGCGCGCCGGGAAGTTGTCACAGATCAGCCGGTCGGCGAACTGGGACGGCAGCCGGGCGTTGCACTGCGAGTAGAAGTCGTGGCAGAAGTCCCGACAGGGCAGCACCAGCTGGTCGGACAGGCAGGCGGGCTGCAGCAGCTGACAGACGAAATCGTGCGCCAGACGGAAACACTCCGAGTCGACCACCTCCCTGCCGACGGGCGAGATGGCACAGGTCAGATGGGAGGGGTCAGATGAGAGGGTCAGATGACAGATATCAGCGGTGGGGATGTCAGATGGGGGTCAGAAAAATGAGGTCGGAGAGAAGGTTTCAGCGGTAGGGGTCAGATAGCAGGCCAGCGGTAGCAGTCACATTTGGGCAGGAGGGAGGTCAACGGTTTGGTTCAAACGACAAGTCATCGTCGGAGGCAAGGGTCATAATACGGTCATGTCAAAGGCCAGTGGAAGAAAATAGTGCGAGTAAGAGGCAAATTTTAGGTTAGATGGTAATATGACAACAAAGGTCATGCGAGGAAAAAGGTGAAACACGAAAGACAAAAAGCTGAATGGAGAAACGGAACAGCGGCGTCTAAATGCAACAAGAAATGCAAAACGTGAGCAATTAGAGCTGGTGCGAGACTTCCGGCCGGCATGTTATTCACCGCGGCGAGAGTGAATTGGCTTTATTACGTCTCTGAGAGCGTTCCAGCCGCCGAGAGCCGGCTGCGCGTTTTGCAATCCAAACAGCGCTCCGGCCGGCCGGCATTGTGTCACGCGCTCGGTACGGCTCGGAACGTGACCCGGCGAGTTCGGCGCACCGTCCGCGGCCGCCGCGAAAGCGTGACGGCCGATCAGCCGTGACCCGAGGTCAGAGGAGGCTGTGTTAGCGGGCCGAGGTGGCAGAGACGGCCGGCCGGTCACACCCGGCTGAAAGGAGCCGCTCGGCGCGGGTAGAACTCACCGGAACGAGATCAGGTGCTCGTCGATCTCGCGCAGGTCGACGTGTCCGAGCACGTTGGGGTACGAGGTCATGTTGTAGGGCATGTGGGCGCAGAAGGAGACCTCGAGGGGCTCGCACTGGCGCGGCTGCGGCGTGGCGGGCTCGGCGAGCTCGGCGGGCCGCGGCGTGGTCGGCTCCTCGGCCGGCGGGTCCGGCGGCAGCGACTCCATCACACCCACACGCTCTGCGGGCAGACAAAAGTGAGTTGTACGGTATCCACAATTAGCACCTTTATGCCGGAATAAGCGGTAGACACCTTAGCAAACAAATCAGACGAGCAAAGAATCACAGATCATTTGCGGTCTGATAGTTTACTGAACGGTATCCAGGCTGACCGAGACGATTTCACCAAGTCACCCTTTATTATGAGGCTACCCTGGCCGGTTTCTTATCCTGAATCATGAGGCTGTCGTGGTCGGTCTCTTACCCTGAATCATGAGGCTATCGTGGTCGGTCTCTTACCCTGAATCATGAGGCTGTCGTGGTCGATCTCGTACTGGCTCAGCACGCGACCCTGCCTCAGCTCCTCTGCCAGGATGATGTACAAATCCCCGGCGTCCACCGGGATCTTCCGCGTGTCCACGCGCACGTTAAAGTGGACGATGAGGTCCTCCTCCGGGTGGCTGTGGACAAATCGCAAAATTATCGATCAGCTGAGCATTAAGGGTTACAGCGTGACGACCGACACTCAGTGATTCCACTCACCAGGTTACAATGAGGCTACTCGGTCACGGGTTATGACCGTATCGATATGCCATGACTTATTGAAGGGGTTATCAAAGGACATCGCAATAAGTATGCCCCTATCACATAATAATTGGTCCTGTCTGCTTCCATCATGAGATGAGAAATCGTATGTGCGATCCGACACGGCAGTGAAGCGTGAACTTCACAGCGATATTTACTGGAGAGATCCGGGAACCGCGAGATACGGGAGGCGGTCGGCCGGCCGGCAGTGGCGGAGGGTGTGGCTATTAGTTTATTGGCCGTGAAGTGCGGCGATAAGACACACTCCGTGAGCCGGTTGCGCGATCACGGCGTTTCTCTCTCCGGCTCGTTCTCAGCTCAGCCGACCGGTCAGTGTGCCGTGACTTATCAGCTTTCACCGATTATTGCCATCCTAAACCGGTGCGAGTGATGAATAAATTACTCGCCACGTTAATTGATTAGGAAGGTAAATATACCGACTAAGCACCGTAAAACAGCACGTTAATTAACTAATAATTTCATGTCCACCCACTATTCGAACATAAGCAAAATATAAACATTTAGTGGGATCGCAACAAATACGTTTTAACCCTAGAACGCCTAGGGGGGGGGGTGTATCAACCCCCCCCCCCTGAGGTTTTTTTTTCGAAGTGCACGCTAAACGGCTTGTCGTAGCGGGCTGAAATTTTCAATGCCCTCTGGGGCAACCTTTGCGCATCTTTTGCTGAAAAAAAATTGATCGGGTCATGTCAGGTCACGGAGTTATGACGTCATAAGAGGTACAGCTTCTAAATCTTGCGGAACTGATGGCATTAGTGTTCACATGTTCCAAAAATGTTTTTATGGCTTAGGACACGTTCTCCATGATATTGTCAATTCGTGTTTGACCACAGGTTGCGTGCCATCTGCATGGAAACACGGTCTCGTTACGCCTCTGCCCAAATCTGTTGACCTCACAGACGTCACTAAATTTAGACCAATCACTGTCGTTCCTGGTGTGTCCAAGATCGTTGAGCGCATTGTTTATTTGCAACTCAGTGAATATTTTGATGAACATCGACTTTGGTCGGCTACCCAACACGGTTACCGAAAGCTGCACTCCACTGAGACAGCTCTCACCGTTCTGTCAGATTTTATTCTTTCGGCTATGGACGCTTCTGAGATCGTACTTGTTGTTCTGTGTGATCTGTCGAAGGGCTTTGATTTAGTTGACCATGATCTCCTACTTGCTAAGCTCAAGTTATACAACATTGACACCACATGGTTTGAATCGTATCTTTCTGATCACAGTCAGCAGGTGCAGTATCGCGGTGCGGACGGCCAGCTGGTCTGCTCCGATTCACTGCCCATCACGATGGGTGTGTATCAGGGTACAGCTCTGGGTCCAATTTTGTTTTCAATTTTCTGCAACGACCTGGCTCTACATGCTTCTGATGCAACCATCATTCAGTACGCTGATGACGTGCAAATCGCTGTACGCGGTAAAAAGAGCCACTTACCTGAGCTCATTGCTACCATGGAGAACCACCTTGGTGCTCTCGCCGACTGGTTTAGCTCCAACAGGATGAAAATTAACCATTCTAAGACACAGCTCATCGTTCATGGCACAAAAAGAAGTTTGCAAAGCATCCCACCTGTTACGATTAAGTTTGGTTCATCGTTCATCACTGAAAGTCAAACTGTGAAAAATCTTGGACTTACCATGGATCGCTGCCTGAGTTTTGATGATCACATCACTCACCTTGTCGCGAAATCAACTGGCATCCTCATCTCTTTAGCTCACTCTAGACACGTGCTGCCTTCTTGGACGGTCGCGTATGTGGTGAATGCTCTTGTGGTCAGTTCAATACGTTATTGTGTGTCTGTGTATGGCTCATGCAATGATTCCCAGTTGCACCGTGTGCAGAAACTCTTGAATTTCTGCGCACGTGTCATTGGTGGTCGGCGCAAGTATGATCGGGTATCCGATGTACTTCGGCAGCTGGGGTGGCTCTCAGCGAGGCAGCTCGTCAGCTATCATAGGCTGTGTCTGATCAAGACTGCGCTTGATACCCAGTTGCCAGCGGATATTGCAGCGATGCTTTCATATGTGTCGACACCCCACCACACTCGGCAGTCTGGCCAGTTACAGTGCCCACGTGCAAAGACATACTCTGGTGCTAGGCGTCTATCTCATGCCAGTGCGTTATTTAACAGACTGCCCAATGAGCTGCAGTCTCTGTCGCGACCTGCCTTCAAACGACAGCTGAGACTTCTGCTGCTTCGGGAGGTAGGATAGGTTCGTGGAGTGCCATGTCTTATCGCGTGTTTCTCCTCTTCATTTTATGTTATCACTGTTTTATATCTTATGACTTGTATGTGTGACTCGGGCGCTGGAAGAGCCACTTCTCAGTGGATGCAACCACGAATAAACTATGAACTATGAACAGCCTCCGGCCGGATTTTCACAAACTGAGTGCCAACGCCCGAGGTTTCCTGCCGGTGGTACGGACATCGGTTGATGGATCGTGATGAAACTTCCCATGCATGTTGGGGCAAGTATTGGCTATCATATGGTATAAGAAATTTGACCGGGTCAGGTCAGGTCACGGAGCTATGACGTCACAAGAGGAACAGCGTCCGGTACTATTTTTGAAAAGCGCCCGAACCACTATTTTGCTAATTCTTGTCACCTCAATGGGAATATGCAGCAATATTAGCTTCTATAGGGAGCAAATGGACCTCCCAAATCCAAAAATACAATCAGATTTCAAAAATTTAAATTTTGATTTTTCGAATTTCTGCCGCCGACTGTGACCTTGCCGACTTCCGGCGCTCCCAACGTGCCATTTTTAGAGCTAAGGAAACGAAATACATACCAAACGATAGAGAATTGATCAAGGAACACGATAGTGAAGGTTTCAAGTCGATATCTCCCACCGTTTTGCCGCAATCGCCGCCGAAAGTTGAAAAAAGTCTATTTTCCGAAAATTTGACCTTTGACCGGTCAAAAGTAGGTCAAATGTTGACCTAGGACCAAAAAATATACCACCAATCGCGAGATCTCGTTGAGAGCAATCCGTTGGTTTTTTTCCGCTAAGCTCTACGACCTTCCGTTTCGAAACGCCAGGGGGGGGGTCGTAACAACCCCCCCCCCCCCTGGTCGTTTGTGTTATGAGAAATGGCCTGGTCGTGCGAGGGTTAAGCGTTTATGGCACGTGCAACACGAAGGCACAAGAGGTGATGTGTGGGTTGTGGACGAAAAAAGACCGCTGCCTTTGTGCTTGGTTGTAGAAACAAGCCTTACAGCTCAAGTTATTTTTAATCTAGAAGAAACAATTCGGTGAAATTCGCTGTGCAGCCCGTGTTTCACCGCCCACATTGTTCCTGCACCTCAGTGACAGGCGTCGTTCCGCCGTGGTGACACGTGTCCCTTCTTGTGCACTGTGGCACCGTGCCACCACCGGCCGCCAATTAGCAGCTGTCCGGGACCGCTGGCCGCGTACCGCCCGGAAGCCGCCCTCGCAGCCAGTCATGTTCCGGCACCGTCCGCCGGTTTCTCAGTGGCGACCTCCACCCTGTGACCAACACTCTCTCCGCCGCCCACCCCGACAGTACGTGCTGTGATTAATGACACAAAGTGTGTCCGACACCGCACCACACTCCGAGCCGGTCGGCAGAGCGGGCCGATCAGAGGGATGTCCCCACTGTCATTTGTCATCGTGTCTTTGGCGAGAGGGATCAGCGGATGACAAATGAGAGAACTGTTACGGTCGCGCGTGTTAGATAGGTCTCCTTGCTTAACGAGATAGGGTAGAAAGGAAAAGTGAATCAAAATGAGTATTGTTTTTATGTGTAACAGTAAGTCATTTTTTGCGGTGTTTGTTCGATAAATGGGTTTCTTATTTTCTATAAAAAAAAACTAGGAAATGCTGGTTACACATTACGAAGAATCCCACTTCTTTAAAATGATTGCGTAAGTTTGAAAAAATATCAAGGTAAACTAAATTCTCGAACGTGGTTGCATACGGTGTTAGTCAGTAGTTGGTGGCTCTGCTCCGCAGTATACATGAACATAAACAGCAAACATTAACCTTAGCTTGGGTACTAAATTTGCACAATGAGCGAAGCCATAAATATCTACATTAAAGCTGTCCGGTCAGCGTTTTTGTGAATGAACCAGCGACTAACTAACGTTCATTCTCTCTCATTAGCGCGTGCACGCCTCATTTACATAGGCGCTGCTTTCCACGGTGAGAAACGACACGTTTCCTATTCTAACAGAGCACTGTTGTGACTGCGGCCGGCCGGGCAGCCGGCCGTCGTTGGTCGTTAGCTCGGACCGTGTGGCGTTCACCTGACGTTACCGCCCGCACCGGCGCGCTCGCGCTGCCCAGCTGTGAAAGCGGCCAGATATAAATCGCTCCCGAAGTCAATCAGGAGTCGGGGGCGAGCCGGGTCGGCCACCACGCCATTAGTTAGTGATGAATGTGAGCGTGTGAGAGAGTAGAGCACATGTGAGCACGTCTGACCTGGGTCACTAAGGCAGGTCAGGGTAGCACGGTGGACCCTCTGACCCTCTGACCATAGCACCCATCAGCCTGCCCATGATTCCAGGAGTCGACTGGTGCATTATGCCAACATCCTATCCCATCAGTATCATTAGCCTACAACCGAGTCGCCAGGTGTCGTCTGGTCAGGAATCATTTCTTCCCTCTCATCCATTCCTTTCTCTATATGTTACTCACCCGTCCAGTCCGAGGATCTCGGTGCCGGCGAAGGCCGCCTTGAAGATGGAGTGTTTGAAGATGCTGTCGAGCTTGGTGCGGTAGAAGCGCGCCTTTCGGACGTACTCGGCCGTGCTGGGGTCGGCCAGCTGGTCGCTGTAGCTGTCCCCGGAGGTGAGCCGCAGCTGGCCGCGGAACACGCGCAGCTCGTCCACGCGCAGACCGTGCAGATGGTCAGATAAAACTGCGGAGCAACAGGCAGACAGTGGATTAGACGGTTCGGACAAAGTTATACCACAACTGGGACATTTACTGACACGATATAACAGCCGAGCTCGGTCAGGTATGACCAGGGCTGCGAAATCAGAGTCGGGAGTCGGAGTTGGAGTCGGTTGGAGTCGACAATTTTGCTCGGAGCCGAAGTCGGAGTCGAGTTGGAGTCGCCGAAAACCTCCGCAGACTCCGCAGCCTTGGGTACGGCACTACTAAAAAAGTAAGTGTCCTACCTAGGACACTTACTTACTGGTAGGTATTCTTAGAGCATGGAATATCATTTATTTTGGATTGTCCGCCTGCCTACGTCAGCCTATGAATACATATTTTGAGTTCACTCTCCATACCAAATGTCGCAGCTGGCCTTTGACTAACAAAGCCTCTCAGAAGGCCGCTCGCCGGCATTTATTGGTGTCGCAAATGCGCCGCGGCCTGCATGCGCCGCATAGCCTGGCGCGGTAAATAGCTGACCGTCCCGGTCGCCGTTCCAGGCATTCACACCGACCTGAGATTGCGATGCTGCTATGAAGACATCTCCATGACGGATGGGCGCCACAGCGACCAGAGCTCGGGCACCGGGCGGGCGGCTGTGAAACCGGGGTCCCGCAGGGGTCGGCCGCGTGTGTACGGTTGTGAAACGGCGCAGGTTTTTATCCCGTCGCGCCTCTGCAGCCACTCAAAGGTGAACGACCCGTGTCAAGTTACTGCGGCCGGTTCTGGGATACGGGTGATATCAGCTTAGCTAAGTATTTTGACACCCGGGACATGCATAAGGCATACATAATTCCGTTGCATGATTCGAGTGTTTGCAAGATATGGAGCGATGGTAAAACACTACACAAATGAAATTGTTGATTAATTAGGTTAAGAAGTAATATTTCTGGAACATTCCTTTTGGCATTCACCTCCCCTCTCACGCCCTCGCACTTATCGTCGTAACGTTTGCGTCTCGTTCAGCTCCGGCTACTGACTGTGGGAGACAAATCGTCGCCACTTCGCCGCCGCGGTGGCATCTGAGTGCGCCCGAACAAAGCACGCGCGGGAGGAGGCCCGGGGAAAGCTCGGCTCCTCTCACGACGGGACCGCTGAGTCGACCGGCGGCTTCTGCGGGCCATTGTCTGGGCCGTGCCGCGAATGGTGTACAGAATCAGCCGCCCACGACTCAGAGCTTAGTGCGGTGTCACTAGAGTCACTATCAGTCCCATTCACCAGGGTTTATATGGCTCTCATAGAGAAATGGAATGGTGCTATGGGCAACAAAGCTTATAGCTCAATAAAAAGTCTCCGGCCTGGACCAGTAGAATGCCACCGACGGGACGTCTGGCGAGCTCTCAGCTCCAGTGACGTTGCCGGTGCGGGCGGAGCTCACAGCTCACCTCCCGACGCCTCGGGCGGTGACTGATGCCATCCGGTGATTGGTCGGGTCCGGAAGTAGCGCCGGCTGACCGCACCGGGTCACAGGTCACCTCAGGTCACGGGTCACGGGTCAGAGGTGACCGTCCGGCGCCGGGGGCAGCCGCAGAGAAAGGCGGCAGGAGCTCGCGGCGCGGCGGCCGGGCCGACCGAATGGTGCCACCGTGCCACCAGCTCGCGGCCGCAGCGCCCCGGCGCGCGGGTCGTGACCCGTCGGACGCGCCGAACGAGGTCGGCCGTACGGCACACAGCACCGTGCAAAAGTCGGGCACCAGCGGCGGCACATAGCCGCCCCCATCCCTACCCCCGCCACCGCTGCAGCCGCTGCAGTCGAGTGAACACGGTAACGATTACAAACAATGGCGACATAAAACTGGCTAGCGCTGCTCAAGATTGCGAGGTTTATCGTCTTGAATAGCTCCTCCTTCATTCGTTCCCAAACATCCTTGGAGCGTTTGTCGTCTGCTCGGGTATATTAGGCTGTCATGTGTGGGAATAATGTGCACTCAGTTTGTCGGAGTAACTCGTTACTGCTCTCATCTGGCCGTGACCCACGTCTCAGCGCTCAGATGGGCACGGCTCCGTCTTAGCAGGCCTGTCTCCATGTTACAATATATGATATTCTTTGGCACATGACGTGCTCTTTAAACGGCTAAGCATATTTTTCATGCTTCACTGCACACTGGCGAACTGGCATAGTAGTTATTTACATGTGACGATTCAATGGCGGATTACCTATTGATTGAGATGGTTACGAGTTCGGTTGAATTTGTCCATTATCGAGACAAATTGGATGTCGTCTCATCGATTTGCCTCCAGCAGAGAAGTCATCTCAACCAGTAATGCACTGACAGAGTCTCTGCACTCCGTGGACGGTGACAGAGGTTGCCTGGTAACGAACCGTATCCATACCAAGTGGCGGATCGACACCGTCCTGGTGACGGTCTGCAACCATTCGTCTCCGTACTTAGCGATTCAACTCATTGCTGCGTGCTCAGTAGGCATTCGGACTGATATGTATCCGTATTTCGTACCCAGCGACAGCCCCTGACACCGTCGTCTTTACAGTCCCAGTAACGGACTGACGTGCGTATCGGCACCGCTCCGCTAACGGCCCCGGAGCGACGCGGCGCTTCGATCAGGCGTTACGGCCGGCGCGGTGAAAAGCTCTGGGAAGTGCCGGCGGCGACAGCTCGGGTATACCGGCCGTGGGACAGCTGGGACGGCTGAGAGCCGCGGCGGAGAGGGAGGGACGGTCGGCTAAATATCGGAACAGGAGGGTTTGTGGGGGATAGACGGACAGCGTGAGATAGTCTGACACAGACACGGGCTGACACATGTGACAGTGGGGATAATCTGACAGACAGGCGCGTCAAGGGTGACAGCTAGTTCCGATGACGGGCAGATGAATGCGTCACGAATGAAATAGGATATGACGTCTTGTGAAGGCCCGATTCGTATTAGTGCAACACAGTCACAGTCAGACATAAATACACACAGGGACCAGCAAGACGCAAACATTTCCATATACCTACACTCTCGAATCCCAATACTACCGTTAAAATAGGACAGAATTGATTTGGCTGAGTGTAGCCGGAGGTTAAAATAGGACAGAATTGATACCACTGAGTGTAGCCGGAGGACACCAATGAGGAGCTGGTCCGTGACAAAACCACACGTCTAAATGACACAAACGGACTGTCACTGAATATAGGCCGCTACACGAAACCACACTCGAGCCGATAATGACGGCCGGTGGTAGTCAATGAGCCCACATAACGGCCGTATACAAACCACTAGATAATGAAACTTTACGTTTCATGAATCGTCTATTTTTAGCAATGCATGTAACTTGCCATTTCATGAAACGTCTCTTTTACCTGACAGCACAAAATCCAAAAAAAAAAACACGCAACTAAGATGCAGAGTGCAGACGGATGGTCACTGTCTATTGTCGGACGACGTTCAAGGCGTTACATGCAGTGCTCATATGGCATAACATGCTTAGGTACTCACATCCGAAGTAGATGCCGGCCGCGCAGCCGAGGCCGATCATGAGCACGGTGAACACGATACAGAACACGGCAAGCTTGGAGCAGCCGCGCTCGCGCATAAACTTGATCTCGGACGGAGACGTGGATGTAGAAGAGGTGGATGAGCGAGACCACGACGGCAGCGGCTTCTTCTGCTCCTGAGGGCACACAGAGAGGGAGAGGGCTGCTTAGATCCAGAGAGGGGAGGTCACACACTGGGTGTAGGGGGGTCATGCCGACTCGAGAGCGGGGCGATTGGATGGGGTCGGCTCGGGTGAGAGAAGGTTGTTCGGGTGCGGCCAGAAGCCGCACAGCTCGTGCTCAGAGGCGGACATTACGGCGGCTCGTGCTTTGTAATGAGGTGATGATCGTTCCGACGCGTGAGTCAATTTGAAATAGCTTAGAAACCATAGGTCACATCGCTACGGTACAATTTATTGGGTAATGAGCGTTCACGGTGGCTGATTGCTGTTATTGTGTACTCTTTATGCTGCCCCACACCATCTTTCACAAACAATAGAAGGATTTTCTCACGCTGGAGGACCATGGCTAGGTGTCCATCACATTCATCACTTATCATTGTGTGAAACTATACAACAGAAAGCAGATCATCTTGATTTGCAAACTGAGTCGTGACTGTGCTCGTGCATGGTGTTTCTAGTTGGATTTTTGACCAGCCCGCGAACTTGTGATGGAGATTGGGGAGTGTCATGGGTGTGTACCTACTGTGTAATGTGTATGTCAGGCTGACCACTAGGTCACCCCAAGTCCGCCAAGCACGACATTTTATAAAACATGGCTTCCAAGTTCCCGGCATCCTCCCAGCCTCTCTGGTTCTACCCTTCCTATATCTCTTTTACCGTTACTCTCGGCTCCTTTTATCTCTGCGCGCCCATTTACCGCTGCCGTCCCTTCCCCTCTCCTCTCCACCTCTCCCCTTTTCCACCACTCCCCTCCTCTCTCCTCCGAAGGTGCACCGCTGTTGACTCGCCGCGCTGTCCCTCTCTCTCTCTCTCTCTCTCTCTCTCTCTCTCTCTCTCTCTCTCTCTCTCTCTCTCTCTCACCCTCCCTACTCTTCCCTCCCAAGGTGCACCGCTGTTGACTCTGCGCGCTGTCCCGTGACGTCAGCTCAGAGCCATCACCAGGCCAGCTCAGGCACCGGAGTCGGCCGGCGCGGCTGACCCACATCGGACGGGTCGCGCCGCCCGACTCGGCCGGCCGCGGAGGTGCCGGGGAGCCGCCGACAGGGGCCGGGAGGGGAGGGAGGGAGGGTGTCTGATTACCGGCTGCAGAGAGCCGGCCGCCGCGGCTCAAATGACATCAGAGAATCAATTAGTTACGTGTCAAATTATCGGAGTCAAATAGGTAACAAGACTTCTCTGTATCTTGCTCCGCTTTGTTCTGCACTCCTTTACTCTCCTCTCCTCTCCTCTCCTCTCCTCTCCTCTCCTCTCCTCTCCTCTCCTCTCCTCTCCTCTCCTCTCCTCTCCTCTCCTCTCCTCCATGCCGGGCGATAAGCACCAGACGTCCCTGACACGCCGTTAGAATTACCACCGGCACCTATCCGGAGCCGCCACCTGGTAATCCTGCCATCCAACAGCTGTCGATCCCAACCAGCAGCTCCCGTGCTCTGCTACTGCCCACACCGCCGCGCCGGCTAAACACTCGCGGTGGCGCCGAGCCGTTAGGAGCGTTGACGCGGGCGCAGCACACGAGTCACTCAGCCGGCAGAAGCAGAAACGGACCGTGAACGGAGGCATTTGGCAGCACATGTGTGACGCCTGGTGCATCACTAAATCACCACAGCCGTCAGAGTGCAGTCTATAATTATCGGCGGGGTGCACAACTCACTACGCGCAACAGTTTAGCAGACGTAAACGGGACACGCGTGCGTGCACTAAAAAATGAAATAACGTCTTCTTCAAGCCAGTGTATTCTTCAGCTTGACTGATGTTCTTCTCGCTTATATAGGCCATGTGAACTGAAGCAGAAACACTGATGCATTATGCAACACACCAATGCAGAATATTACGGTAACATATCGCCGCGATATCTGAATAGGTCAGCGGCCGTCATAACACTGTAATGAGCCCCGGCCCGGCCCGCTGCGGGCGCGGGGTGGGCTGCCCCCGGCGAGGTACTGCCCTCCGTCACTCTCATTAGGGGGCGCCGGCTGTCGCGGCGAGTCGTCCGTCCGGCCCAGTGACCCGGCGACCCTGCAGAGGCCGTGGGAAGGGGTCGTCCTGCCGCCCCGGCCCCGAGCAGCGCCCTGCCAACTGGGGCGGAACAATATATTCCTGCCCGGGGCCGGGATGATTCCTTAATTCCTTAATTCCTTAATAATAATGAATTCCCGGCCTTAGGGCTGGAAGGTGTTTCCCATACCTGCCAAAAAGCTCACAACTATAATCGACAGTGACGTCAGCAGCCGTGTGGTTCAACGCGTTTAACCACACCCCTTGAACCACACGGCTGGCAATATTAAAGCACTGCATTAAACTTTGAAAAGTTTGGTACAGTGCACGTGCCATTAAAATGCCTGGATGTCTCGATTTAATCATGCAATGTAGCAGGTATGGGAAATACAGCCGCCGCCCGTGACACCGGAGCAGTTTGTCGTGTCAGCTCAATGGCGGGCTTACAGGGCAGCGTCGTAAAGAGGTTACCGACAAAAGCGCAAATTAAGCTTGCTTTTTGTCAGCAATAAAGTGACTTCTGGCGACTGTGGCATCGGCAGTGAGCACAGTGAATCACTGAATATATCGGCCAAATTATTTCGTCTAGTCGGACCCTGTCCCTGCCGCGCTCCGACCGCCTAATTAGCGTGTTTGGCACCGCTGAGGAAACACAAGCGCCGCAAGGAAGAGAAAGTCGAACGATGAAGAATTTGAAGAAAGTAAAGGTATCGATAGTCCGAGAATAGAACCCGGGATTCCATGAATATATTACAGGGCTGCTGTGTGAAACAACACGTTCCAACTCTGACCTGGACGTCCAGTAAATGGAGCAACATGCGTGCGGACATTTACCAGCAGCGGTACTTCACTATTTCACTACGAACTGAACCTATAAATCAAGATAGAGCGTACGGCTATGAAAGGTGCATCACAAGCACGGTCTCAAATACACTAGAACAATCGAGGGAGCATTTACATTAGCATATACAGAAGATTCATCCGCACGAGATGCAGCCGTTTCAAGAACACTATCGATTCTGAGTGAAGATGAAAACGGTTCTGGTAATAGGTGCGTCCAATTCTCAGGACATGCTCACGCCACAGAGCGTTTCTCAGATCCGGAGCCTCACAACATAAATCTGAAGTTAACGAAACGCTTTCCCGTCGCCGCCGGTTTTCGGTTCACCTCCAATGGCTGCGTCCCCGCGCGCTCCGACCGACCGGTTTCTCCGCGGCTCGCCGGAAAACTCACCTCCAGATCGGAGCGGCGACTCTTGGAGAGTTTGCCCATGACTGGCGTCGTGGCGGGGGCTCGGAGTGAGTCACAGTCCAGTCACCTCCTCAGTCAACACTTCTGACCCGCTGCACTCACATGGTCCGCCCGCGAACACGGCGCGACAGGCACTCGACGACGAACCGGCGGCCACTCGCGCGACGGAGGTCAGGAGCAGTCGCGAAACGATACGCCAGAGAAGGTCACGTGCGCACACCTTCAGATCTGACAATTTGTAGAACAACAAGTGTCTATGCGCTTTCGATTACGTCTATGATGTCTTGAGAACTCTGGATTGACACTGGTGCCTGTACTTGTTTACGACAACTGGCAAGATACGTGATCTGTTAGAGACCGGAGAGTTTTGACAAGTGTGCGGTGCTGCAGCCGTGTACCGTCTCCGTTAAAAACACGATGTTTGTCACCGCACAGCCTTGACAGACAAAGACAATACGAACAATGATACAGTACGAGACAACTGCCAAAACGATTGCACAAAAAAATGCACGCCCTCACACAGCACACCCATACCAGTACCAGCATAATACCAGTACTTAAGCATAGTATACATACTACATATGTAATATGTATGCTGCAATGCATATTTTCAAGTCGGCACGATGCAATGTCTTGTGATAGTCAAAGGCAAGGCAAGTAAAATCATTAAAGTTCTGCTAGGCATAAAGTGCTCGTTATTATGAAAGTGTCGAATTTTGTAATTTGTTTCCAGAGAAGAACAATGCTATTTTTTGTTCTTCTCTTCCTCCCCCAACACTAAAACTCGATAAGCTTTGAGTGGCACCCGTGGATCATGGGATGGACATTACAGCCGGTAAAGGGTTACTGAACTCTTGGACAATCTCAGAAACCTCAGTACAGCACCAAAAGAAGGAAGAATTTCAACGGTTACTTTGTCACGGCCTCAATTAACCCAAATAACCGCCGAAGACAATGTGAAATGTGTCACCGGCCACCGCAGGTTACCGCCCTAATAGTCGGTGAGAGGGGCACAAAAACGACCGAGCCGGACTGGAAGGGGCCGGTGAGGAATGAGGAACAACTTAACCACGGTCCAGCGGTGCCGTATCCGGGAGCCCGCGCCGGGCGGCGCCGTCATTTCCTGGGAGCAAAGGGCGCCTTTCAGCGGGCCTCTTTTCACTGGGTGCGTGGCTGCGTCCCGACGGCACGGCACCAATCCGGGTCAGAGTATTGCAATTGGAGTGGAGTAACAATGGAGTGTGGGGAGGGATGCCGGAGAATCAGGGGCGGGACGGACGGGTTACGATCATGAAACGAGAGGGAAGACGGAACTCGACGGGGACGGGAAGGAGACGGGACGGAGACAGGACGGAGACGGGACGGAGACGGGACGGAGACGGGACGGAGACAGGACAGTGACGGTATGAAGACGGGACGGAGACGGGACGGAACAGAGACGGTATGGAGACGGTATGGAGACGGTATGGAGACGGGACGGAGACGGGACGGAGACGGGACGGAGACGGGACGGAGACGGGACGGACACGGGACGGAGTCGCTCACTAGCTCTGTAACCTACGTCCAAGACGGTCAGTTTTGGCACGTCGTCGCTCATGCTCTCTCACCCCGGCACGGCCGGACCGGAAGGGCGCCAGTGACGACCGGTAATGCCAGGTGGTGGTAGCGGAAATACGCCCCCCCCCCCCTCCACCTCCCCCGGAATCCATCGTGATGAGCACCTGGCCGAGGGCCGAAATGGCCACAACATTAACAGCAGCGCTAGTTAATTAACAACACTGACCATGGAGTTATAGGAAAACACGCTGCATTAGTCAGCTACTGCACTAATCCCCAGGCCGGGAAAAACGCCTCCAATGTTCTTCGGAGGATTCAGTAGCTCCGCAAAACCTTGCTTAGCATACAATGAAAATACTGATCGATCAGCATGTGCAATGAGGTCTCGCTGGCAGCACGTTTCCAAGTATGTCAGGGTGCCGTATTTGTTCGTGCCCACCTCGGCCTGGCCGTACCGGCTGCTCTAAATTCGAGGTCAGCCCGGACCTGCCAGCAGATCGGCCTGCTCGGGAGGTGGTAACCGGTGGCACCCGTCGCCGCCGGTTTTTGCACGTGACTGCCGCTGCGGCCGGCTGTGCGGGCTGCGGTGCGGACTGCGCTGTTGTCGCTGCGGCACGGGGTGCAGTGTGGGCGGCCGGTGGTGGCCCGTCCGGCCGCTAACGGTGCCGCGGGCCGCGCGGCAGGTCAGCCGGCCACGCGCTCCCCGCCACAGAGCGGCCCACAGAGTGGTCTGACGGCTCTGAGTCGGCCGGCCGGTCAGCGGGTCGGACGGACCGGCCCCGAGTGGGTCACCAGAGTCGTCACTGGGTAGGTATACCGGACGACCGGGTCACAACCACCGACCGCCGACCGCGGGCCGGCCGGGCGGACCGGATGTTGAGCGCCCGCCCACGACCAATATATGGAGCAGAGGCTGTCTGTAGGGCCCCACTATGGTCACCCACGACCGATATATGGAGCAGAGGCTGTCTGTTGGCCACGACTCCGGCCCGACACCGGACACACTCAGGCCGGGAGGGCAGAGGCCACATCCGGGCGATGTGCGCTGCCGGAATAGCCGCGGGCCCAGCGGCGAGAGGCTATGAACGTCTAATGACAGGTCTTGGTGTCAAGACAAGACCAGAAGCCAGGATATAATGACGCCTGATGGAGCAGAGGCCCATCCTCCGAGCTCAGGGAAGTCGAGTCGGACTAGCCATTGATAAAAAACGGGCTTGTGAAGTGAAGCGTACGTTACCACTACTACAGGAAATTTAAGGTGTAATCTGTGGGCTGTAGTGACCCAACTCAGATAAATGATAAGGCTTTGTTGCAATATTGTAATTAAGCTGCAACTTAAACTTTACCTGTCCATTGTCCAACATAACATTCAGAGGAAGTCTAGATAAATATTTTCCAAGCTAAAACATGAAATACCAGCGAAAATGAATGATCTAATCTTTGTCGTATTGTCGTATACCTAAGGCCACGACCGGCTGACATGGGAGCTAATTAATTTCTTTAAACAGCTCAAATAATTGTTTGTTTTTGCTTTATCCACGATTTAATGTAAAAAGCGTGGGAGCGTATATGATTTCCACTTTCAAAACATAAGGCACTTAGCTAAAAATAACTAGCAGCATTATTCCGGGAAACAATAGGAAGTGTCTCATGGTATGGTTTTTGCTCCAAGCAGAAAATGCACCGCGGATAAATGATGAGAAATTTTCACGCGATCTTACCAGAACAAATCGGAGGCGGAAATCGCTAACCACAGCGTACTGGCTACCAGCATCGACGAAAAGAAGTGCGTTTTGCATCATTTCAGCTGCGTTGAGCTGAAGCCAACCGCAAATTGAGCAACTTTTAGGGATGTCACCAATCACCAATGTTTGTAACGGTGCATTTCTGATTCTTGTTGAAAATACTTGGTTAGTTTTTTGAATAAGCTAGAAAAAATATGTCACATACAAGATGAAATCTCACCTGAAGCTACTAGTTTTTCAGCCTGTCAATCATTTTATAAGGGTCATTGGCACTTAAAAGCACATCACCAGTACCTACACCCCACCACATTGCTGCACGCACTTGATCGCAAGCTTATAAACACCGTTAGGTAGGGCAAAAAAAAAAACTGCAATTGGTAAACATTTCATTATCCCAGGACAACTGTAATCGCCAGCCCCTTGTGGATTGTCCATGATGGCAATACATACATACACATACAAACTTCTCAGCACACTAGCACAGGGACTGCAACAGGGGAACAGCACGCTATCAGGAGACTGCAACGACAGGCGGGGAAGGTAACACTAACAGAAACTGCAACTGGAACGGGCACCACATCAAAGTGTGAGCAAAAGGAAACACTACCTTTTAATTGGATGGACAATAAAGGAACAATATCTGAATAATTTGGTTCATGACAGCCATCAAAACAGAGCAAGAAACAACCAACCAGATAGAACGTACAGTGAAAAGATTTCATTAATGGCTACCAATGAATAATTTGAAAGACGTTAGCACATCACGATACAATTATGACACATAATCTCAATTAGCCAACAAGAGCACGGCAGCACAGCACATGTTCGACACAGTTCAGCACCAATATCACATTACGGAGACTCACGCCGCCCTCGAACAGCACAATACCCGGGAGACGGTGACGGAGACGGCAGCACAGCACACACCAGTCCTCGGCCGAGCGCGGTCCTCACTCACTCGGACGCCGCTCGCGACTCGAAACGGCAGCGTGCGCCGACTGACGGCGGCGGCGGCAGCGACAACACGGCGCCGGCGACCGCGCGGCCGCCGCCGCTCTCAGCCAATCAGAGCACCGGCTGCGTGAGACTGCGGCCCGGTCACGGCCCGGCCGGACCTCGCCGGGTAGTCCGACCCTCAGCGGGCTATGCTGGGTCACTGGGGTCGGATTACCCCTCTGTGTGCCTTTGAGGTCCGTTCTGTTTGTCTCTATGAATGTGTAACCTCTGAGCAGATCTGTTGCCGACAATGTATGTCACACGCTGACACCGACCCGTGTGCCCCGACGTCGTTTGGTTCCGCTCGGCGGACAGCCGCTATCCAGGCCGTATCTAATGAGTCGCCGAGATGACACCGAGATATGTATATATGTATCTCTCAGCGCTACCGTGAGACTTGCTGGGGGTTCCTATAGACCACTGGCTACTGGCTTCTGAGATTATATCTATCCCGGTAAATGGTAATGTTATTGATTGTATTTTGAAAGTGTCGTTCACGGATCGTTGACACGAGAAAATCTATTTCAATACGAACTCCATCTCTAACATTAGCACTGAAGAGTCAAGAAACCTGAGCTTTAATTCAATGACGGGAACAAAAGAGGAGCAGTTTTATAGGGCTTTAATTCATACGACATTGAATAAGGTAAAATAAAAGTGAAGAGCTCTTCCGCTTTGGTGCAGTTGAAATTACTCACATCTGCGCTGAACGTGGTGGAAGACCGGAGGCTGAAGGTGCTCTCCGGTCCGAGCACCACGAACTTGTGACGTCGGCAGCTGCCCGCGGGCGTCATCGTCAGGTTCGTCTGAAAACGCATCACGCCGGAGGAAAACTGAATTAGCGAGCTCAACGCCATGGCGAGCACATTTTATTACACACGGTATACATTAGTGGTGTCAATTACGGAAAATCGGAATACCGATACCAAACCAAATACCAACCAAAACCGTGGGGAAATACCGAAACCAAACCAACTTGGGAAAATGAGGGAAATACCAACTTTTTACTGATTTCTTAGCCTCTTAAACACCAGTAAAACGCC